TTTTTGTGCGATTCCTACATCTCACAGCATTCCTTCTCTTCGTGCTTAATACGCGAGTATTGACCATTGCTCATATGCATATACAAATCCCTATATAACCCCTATATCCCCGACATATATCCCTATAAAACCCCGTTTAAGCCCTGTTGCAAACATCCAACCTGACCTGCACGACGGCAGAGGGCGCTCGCCGCAGGCGCGCGAGAGACCATGCCAGGCCTTCAGTCCACAGGTGCTTCAGGTTTAGGGTTTAGGGTTTAGGGTTTGGGTCCCCAACATGAGATGATATATTGAGGTTACATTGGAATAATGGAAATAAAATGGAAACTACTAAACGATACAGGGATTATGTATGGGATATAGGGTTATATGGGGGTTGTAATGGGATAGTACCCAAATAATGGAGAATCAAATGGAAAAGCCTTGGGGTCCATTTTGGGTCACCCCTTAGTTTCCGAAACCAAATTGGGGTTCTGGGATGCATGACCCAAACCCTAAACCCTAAACCCTAAACTCCCTAAACCCTAAACAAAAAACTCTTGAGCGGAGCAAGGAGGGAATGATCTTCGTAATGATGCTCGGTTTAGGATCTAGGCTGTGTTTTCCCTGTTTTGTCCGTCCGGAATGGATAGCAAGTTGAGTCCAAAAGGCAAGGTCTGTGTCCTTTATGACAGCTTGTTTGAGGTCCAATCAAAGCGGTTGGGACTTCCTGGAATCAATCCGTCCCCGCCCGTCCCATCCTTCCCAGAAGACAGGCAGCTGCACTGATCCATGCATTGCGCCAGGGAGTTTCATGGGTATCTTAAGTAAGGTAAAAGTACCTCAAACAAGCGTGTAGTGTAGTCAGTTAGACTTACTCACATCTTACATCCGTGATGATTGTTCATAAATACCCATGAGCCCCATAAACCTTCCAGTGGGTCGATTTCCGCTTTGTGTTCATTGCACGAGGCCTAAGGTGTTCTGAGAAGAGCCAGCTCAGGCCAGGACGCGACAAGTCTTTGGGCTGAAGCCTCATCCGACCAGTTGGTGCTTGATGACAGGGTAACATAGGGTTATATAGAGTAATGTAAGGATGTATAGGGTTATATAGAGTAATAGAAGGATGTATAGGGTTATATGGAGTAATGTAAGGATATCTAGGTTATATTGGGATAATGGAAACTGAAATGGAAACTACTATACGATATAGGGATTATGTATGGGATATGGGGTTATATAGGGGTTGTAATGGGATAATGGAAAAGAAAAATGGAAACTAAATCCTAAAGCAGGGAGTAAGAGCCCTAAACCCTAGAGCCTAAGGGCTAAGGCTGCCCTACATATGCCGCCCAAAGCAGGTTGCAGATGAGAGCCTGTTGTGTCAGAAAGCTTTCCAGCTCACCTTACAGGGCACTCACATGCTCATGTAGATATCGGGACTGTGGACTTCTATCAAAAACATCTGTGAAAACCATCATCTTCCCTACTTCAGAACCAGATTTCCGGTAACCTCATCTCTTGCTTCTGGCTCACTCAATTCCAACCTTTCCGGGTGAATCCCCGCCAGTTCTGAGCCCCAGGCTCCGCCGATATTCGGCCGGCATCTGCCCTGGATCGAGAAGGTTCTGTAGGGGGCAGTCAGGATTTAGAGGGATGTAGGATTTGGGGGTTACAAGCTATTACGTGAATAAAGGAGAAAAAGGAACATGGAGAGTGAAATGGAAACAGAGTTTACTTGTATGTAAAACAGCAATAGAAGCAGTAGTAGTAGTAGTAGTAGTAGCAGCAGCAGCAGTAGTAGTAGTAGCAGCAGCAGCACCAGCAATAGTGACAGTATTGTCCAATACCTCCTGTTTGATTCGCATAAGAGTAGCAGCAAGTACACAGAACTCCAGATTGTTTCCCTGGTTCCCAAGATATGGCTTCTAGCCTCCTTCGCTCATCATTGGTCCAGCGCCCAGCACCCTCAACCCCAAGCACCCTCAACCCCAAACCCTAAACCCCAAACCAAAATCCCTAAACCCTCAAACCCTAAAACCCTGAACCCAAAACTCTAAACCCAATTCCCTGAACCCAATACCCAAACCCTAAACCCAAAACTCAATACCCAAGACCCAAAACCTTAAACCCTAATCCCCAAACAGATCTCTCAAATCATACCACCAGGCACCCGGCCGACACTTCTGAAGGTGTTCCGCTGCGAAGCCTAAGGAGATGACAATCCGACTTACTGGTGGTCAGTAGGGAATAAGGGTATATCATCCCTATATAATGGGGTTTAAGGGTTACCTAGATAATTCTATGATAGGGCTTAGGTTTTAGCGGTTTGTAGGGAATGAGGGAATACAATCCCTAGAATTGTATGACAGGTATTGGTGGTTAGTAGGGAATAAGGGACTAAAATCTCTGTATAATTATATAATACGGTTCAGGGGTTAGCGGCGAATGAAGGAATATAATACCGACAGAATTACATTATAGGGTTGAGGGGTTAGTAGGGAATGAGGGGCTATAATCCCTAACTAAGTATATATGATAGGGTTTAGGGGTTGGTAGGGAATGAGGGACTAGAATCCCTATATCAGTATATGATAGTGCTTAGGGGTTAGTAGTGAATAAGGGACTAAAATTTCCGTATAATTATGTGATGGGGCTTAAGGTTTAGGGTTTACTAGGGAATAAGGGAATATAGTCCCATATAACGGGGTTGAGGTGTGACGGGTTAATTCGTGGGGAACAAGGTGAGTATCATTCTGATCCCTAGATAATCCTTATGATATAGCTCATACACTCATTCCCTCCTAAACCCCAGCAGGCAGACTAGGATGTGAAAAGTTTCGGAGCGCTCACGCGCCAAGAAACTTGAAGTCCTTGCCACCTACCCGAACCACAACTAAAATCTGACTCCATATTAGTGTGCCACAAACGCTATGAAGAAACGGCTTTGAGAGTGTGCGTCCTCTTACAGGGGAAAGGTTTCTTGTGAGCTATAATCTAAACTCATAGTATCACCCTTAGTAACCCCTATAGTAGTCTCCTAGACAATCCTGTATGTAACCCCCTTTAAAGAGTTTAGAGCATAGCTACTATGGGATTAGTTCCGCTCTAGTCCGAGGCTCGGGCCCATCTTGGGCGCCCGCAGCTGAGCAAGTAACCATAACACCTGCAAGGGTACGTTGCTGTTAAGGAATTTAGGGTTTAGGGTTTGGCGGAGAAATCACCATGATATGGGTATATGGTAAAGTATGGTGTTTCCTTACTGTTGTGACTTCAAAGAAATCCGTAACAGTTTCCCAGAAGAGGTTCATCTCCAGGGGCTTCCTTGGTAGGGCTACACAGGAATTTAAGAGATCATTGTGAGATCATGGATAGCTTTGGGCACATGTAGACATGCATTGGATAGGGGATTTGGGGAAGACATCCAAGCATTAAGTTACCAGTACGATGACAATGGGATACCCTGCCCATTCCAAGTAGCTCAGGCTTCTGCAGGGCTTCTGTGTGATGCCCCTATTCTTGCAGCGGAGGTTAGAATCCAGTCTTTAAGAGGTGCAAGAAGTTGACTGAAAGTCGGAGGATTATAACTCCCTCCAAGGGCACCATGTATCCCACTACACAAGTCCGAAAGGAGTCCCCTTCAAAGTGGCTCGCCTCCACCTTCTGCTGGCTGCTCCATGCTGGCGCTTCCAGAAAATGTGAGGTCCAAGGAGGGGCCTCAGAGGTGCTTCTGCTTTAGATACCCATTTGTGGGATTTGTGGCAGTTTCCCTGAAAAGGGGGGACACCAATATGGACCCCCAAAATACTGTGGTCCTTATTATGGAGAGCTCCAAAAGGTACCCTAATTAAAATGTTGGGAAACCTGCTTGTTGAGGACGCTTTAAAGTGTCAGGCTTGGGGCTGAGGATTGAGGGTTTACCATCAGGGCATTCATGAAGGGACGAGAAGGGATTATGGATGTCAATTCATAAGAATGAACTGCGGATCACGTTTGCGAAAATTGTGTCTGGCTGTGCAGATGTTGGTAACTAAGACACTAATGGCCGTATGAGCCATAGTCTAAACTCCGAGTATTCCCCTGAATGACCACTATAATACTCCCCTATATAACCCCTTCAAGGAGTTCAGACTGTAGCTCATATGAGCCATTACCATTCAGCTTGATTTCCGTAAGAACTGCTTTAGATTGCAGATTGGTCTTAAAATGCATTCAGCGTGAAGGACACCAACACGTGCATACACCTATGTCTCTACTCATTTCTCAACTTCTACTTCAACTTACACTTACAGGCTGGGCCCCAGCGAGGTGATTGAAAAAGCTCGGGCCCCAAAATGCATGAGCCTGAAATTCAAGAAATTCAGGTTTAAACTCCCAAGGCACCGCCATTCTCTCGATTTTTCCGCGCGAAAATCATGGCGTTGCAGGGGGTCAGCATGTCTGGGAGCCTCTCGCAAGTGGCCTTGGCAAAAAAAGGCACTTCAAAGAATCGAATCAAATGCTGCGCGCGTGGCGGCACAGCAATCTCTACTGTCCCAGTGAACCATCTGCTTCTCAAGACGAGGGTCCTTTGTTGGTTCTCTAAACAAATGGGCTACTCATCATGAGCGTCCTCAAGAGGTGACACTGCATGGTGTTACCCCAACTGCAAGCTCAGAAGCAAAACTTGCAGCAACTTCGAGCAGCACATAACTTGAACGGTCTACTTGTTTGAAAGGCAAAGGCTATGATTCGCCATAATGTTACCTTCATCTCGCTGCCAGTCTCCCGCGACAACTCGCAGCAGCTAGGCGCGCGCACATATTCAAAAGCGTATTGATTGCTACCATGGAGCATGATACTCCGATCGCCTTTTTTGCAGAGAGGTATGCTACGACTATTGGTACTATTGTGGCCGGCACAGCGACTTAAAGCAACCGCAGAGGCAGAGATGCTAGCTTAGTAGCAGCGCTGGCAAGAGCGGCGGCAGTCTTCACGTGAACTACGAGGGTGTTCGACTGATACCGAATGATATCCGGCCTCTGGCAACAGCTGCGCCAGTCCAGCTGCCCAGCGGTCGTAACGCTCGTCAGGGCCTGGAAACTTGCCCTGGCTCAAAATGGAAGGCCCCTGCCATGTGCTTGAACAAAAATGAAACTCTTGGGATGACAGAAAGTCAGTTCTCAAAATTGTGGTCCCTTCTTGGGTTCCTGGTGTAATACGATCATACCCTTGACACTCCCCAAGAAGCTCATGTGATACTGGAGTGAACTCACTGCCTTTCCGCCCTGCTTGTATGGTCGGTATGAAGCTTGTTCAGCAACTTGGACTATGCAGGGATTATGAAGGGAGGTCCTCAAGAAACCTTTGCAGCCAGTGATATACAGTTTTGTAGAAAACAGGTTTGAGACTCGGCAGCCTCCATTTTCCAGTGCGAGGAGGCTCTTGGGCACCTCCGGCATCAATGTGCCCGCACGCTTGACGTCCAGACTCCGCAGAAGGCAGCACGGGCACAAGAGGATGGCGACACACCTTGGACCAGTGCGCCGACCATCAAAGCACTTGAGTTTGCAGACGAAGGGCGGGACAGCACAGCATGGTGGTCTCCTAAACTTCCAAATCTGGCAGGATGACTACACAACCTCATCAATGCTCCGAAACACTTGTGCAAGAGCAGGCTTGAGCAGGCATTAGCGTGTCTCCCCTCAAGGTCGACGCACAAGTAGAGAAGCTGAGGGCTGCGCTGTGGGAAGCGATTGTAGATCTGTGTGGCCACCACGCTAAGGGCCTGGAGGGGCTAATCTTTGCGGAATCCGTGCAACTTATCTTGTACACTGCACTGTCTTCTGCAGATCAGCTGCGTGGAACACACGTTTTAAAGCTTGCATCTCAAAGAGGCGTCCGGCTGTTGAGGCTGCGGCCCCGCAACAGTGCATGCCGAGCACGATGACCGGAAGCGCGACGTCGAGCAGCACTTGCTCCATCACTTCCAGGAAGCCTCTGGACCGGACAAGCCACATATTCTCAGGTGGGTTGCTACACAGGCTTGTCAGCTACTGAAATGTCAGCGAAAGCTTGTGCTGTCCTGGCCGGGTCATGTCTTCGCAAAGGTAACGCACGTTGCTGATCCCAGCCTGTCAGCCACCCTGCCATGTAGCACATGCTGCACTAACGAATGAAAGCCTAAAGCTGCACCTCCTGGAAGTGGGGCAGCTGCTGCGGCGGGCGGATGTCCACAGCAGTTACCTCAAACTCACACCAATGGGATACGTCAGTGTTGATGGATGCCACTCTGTCTGGTCAAGGACAGCTTCTTGCTGCTGCCAAAGGTCCGTGCTTTTTGGGGCAGAAATCGCCAGAAAGGTAGTTGTCATGGCGCTTCCACAGCAGAGGTCCACAAAGTGCAGTGCCTCTTGCAAAGCTAGCGTGGCAAGGCTACGGCTTTTTGCTTAGCCAACCTTGGGGAGCTGGCATCACAACGTAAGACATCTTGCTTTGCTGCCTCCTCTTCCCAGCGGCGCAGCTTGCCCAATGACTGCAAAATTGCCATCGACTCAGAGACCTCCTGCAGCGGAGTGCACACCATGCTTCTGGCGACGGATGCGCAAACCAACCAGAGATGTAAGAAATCAATCATATATAGCTTTGAAGAGATTCCACTAAGCTATATACAATCTACAGAAAGGAGTCTACACTACCCTAAGCTGGCATCCAGTGGCAACCGGGAACTGCGGCCATGCTCTTCAAGGGAGGGACTCAGGAACCATCCTACCTATAGCTTCTGTTTGACATCTAGCAAGGTACCCCTTGCCTCTACTAAGATGCCAGAATCCTCCGGCGCCATGGTGTGTGGCCCAGCGAGTCAGTGTGAATAACGTAGTGTCATGCTGACACGACATGCGACACCCGCGTGTGTGCCTCTCTTGAGCCCTCTTGCTTGTTGATCAACACCATCCAGTTCAGCTAGAAGATCAGAAAAAAGAAAGAAGTGAATCCATCAACAGCAAGTCAAACAAAACCTCTCCAGGCTATGTTTGTAACTGAGGGAACCCAAAAGGTGCTCTCAAATTATGGGCTTCTCTGCTGAAGGCCGGTTATTACAAGTACAGGACCCCCCGGATTACCCCCAAACTAAACGGAGTCGACATGTTGGCTTCTCAGGTACCCCAGGCCCCAAAACGCTGAAACCCTACACCTAAGAGCAACTCTGGGATATCTGACCTGGCGGAAGTTGTGACAGTTTGCTGCTCGGTGAAGGGCAGTCTGCTTCAGGGCTGCAACCGCTGGCTGGTCCTGCAAATATGCTTTGCACATCTTTCTTCTCAGGGTTAAAAATTAGCACAGAGGCAAACAAAAGGAAGCACGCTGTAACACTCAGTGCACCTGCTTTCTGACCCACATACTGTCCGCCCCAAACAATTCAAGGGTGTGCTTCCCTGAGATCCGGACAAAGAAGGTGCGCACCAAGGGGTTTTGTTCGTCGCCTTTCTCCACCCGCTCGCCTCAGCCGCATGGTTTCAAGCATGACCATCCGGAGCCTGAGCAAATGAGTACTGGCAGGATAGCCAACGCTTCTAAGTCAATGCATATAAGCTGGGAACACTGCTTGTGTAAATCAAGCGGACTATGTCACAGAATCTAGTTCACTTGTATATCAAGAGGTCGATGGTTCAGGCTAATTCCTGTCTGATCTCACGAGTGTTGTCCAACCAACTGGAGAAAAAGAAGGGTCGGCCAGACTGGCTACGTGCCTTCCAGTCATTACTCACTACATGAACGTCACTATGCCCTGCGACTCTTTAGACTTCTGCAATGATGTGCAAATCGTAGGAACAGCCACCATGGAATGTTCCTCCGCATGGAAGTCCTGCCAACACTGGTAGGCTTTCCATGGAGCTTTAAAATATCTCCCGAACCCCTTTCAGTGACCTCTTTCAAATCCGTCACAATTTCATGTACTCAACGCTGAATTCAAAAGTGATCCTTTCAAGTCTGAACTGTTATGAAGCGCTAACATTCAAGCATTGAACTCTAGACTCTTGTCACTCCAGACTCTAGTCACGGATCTAAACCACAGGACCTTTCCATAAATAGAGGGCCCCAACATAGACCCCACTGTAATATAGTCTTTGTGACGGAAAAACTCGGGACAAGGACTCCCCCAATGATCTTTGTGTAAGAGGCCCCTTGAAATGTCCCGGCCTAGCGCCAGCAGCGCACTTCGCTTGGCGAGCTCGTCCCCGCAGGTCGGGCAGCGCAACTTCCCCGGCGCGTCGGGGATAGACCTTGAGCGAGGATGTGGGGCCTTTAGGGCATAGGGTTCAGGATTTTGGGTTTTTGGGTTTAGGATGAAAGGTGTAGGATTTAGGGTTTAGGGGTGTTCT